CCTACTTCCTGCGAGTCTAGAATAATTTCAGTGTATTTGCATTAAGCATGAGAATCTTTGCTCTCATAAAGAACAAGACAACGCGCTTCAATACGAACTCCTAGGCCGGAGAAATCGCTCCTAAACCTCCCTCGCCATCCACACTGCCCAACGCCCTCGTACCACTTCTGCCACCATCCTACACTGCGGGTAAGCCTTTTGGCAATCGTTCCTGCACCTACCGCTTGGAGCGCGATAATTATGTCAAATGCCCAAATTGTACTGTTACTACACTGTTAAATGACGCGTTGTAAAAACTTGATTGAGCGCCGGCCGCATCATGACGGCCGTTAAGCCGTGCTAGGAAAGATAAGGCAGAGGCGATGCCCCCGAATTCACCTATGATAAACGCGAAGCACCGTCCATTCATAAATTAAAATCGCGAAACAAACCTGAACTTGCTTCGGAAAGCTAGCCTTCGTGTAGGATAGGTGGCAGAAGTGGAATACAGAGGCGTTGCCCAATGTGGAGGGAGTTTAGGAGCCGATATCTCCGCCTAGGAGTCATCGATGACAAGCTTGGTCTTGTTTAGAAGCAAAACATCTGCTAATGCAATAGCCCAGAAATATTCTAGACTCGCAGGCAAAGTAGAATAATGTAAGTCGTGAAATAGCAACATCCCCGTTTTCCGTGTACACTCTAGGTATTATTAGCTCTTGATACAACAGCAATCGCGTGGTGTATAAATAACCAAATTACGTCTCCAGTCAATTTTCAAGTCTGTAGCGAAGAATTATTAACCGAGATATAGCAATTTTTTTAGAAAATGACGCGGCCATTTTAAATCAAGATGCGGCCAAGAGTTAGTTGCTGCGCGTTGTCCGCTTTAAATGAAAGAGCATACCAAAATATGCAATTACGCCAATTTCATACTTTTCACATTAAGCCGATTTTCCTAATCAGCGTGTAAGCGATTAGAAATTATTAACTGTTCAATGACTTAATGCGATATGTAGGTACGAGTATAGCATACTTTGACTTGCACAAATGCAATGTGTCGACATGATCCTTTATACCAGTAACGAATGCATCCGTGTCAATATCATTATCTCCGCCAGGGGCGTGGCGGAGGTTACGTTTTCACCAGCGTGGCCATCGAGTGTGTTTGTGTTGGTGGTTGTTGTACCAAGCACGTTCAGTTCACATTCCGCTAGGTCGCTGCGTAAGACTTTTAACAAACACAGCTAAAGGGGCAACCACAGTCCTGCCAGCTATCAACCTGCAGCCTCAACCCTAATCCGATGCCAATTAATTAGTAAGAATTAATAATTCCACTTAATTAATTAATTAATAAAAAATTTCACATTGAGAGAATTCAGCTGCCTTGGCGGAGGTCTGTGCTCTCCGAGTGCTCTAGTTAATCATGTATTTATGTTTGCTTAAAAATAGAAGCATTTGAAGTAAAAGATCGGCGAGGGAAGAAAACTCGTACGAACAGGCAGATTTCCCCTAATAAGTAATCACATTTATTTTCTACTACTGCAAGTGTGAACGAATTCCAAACGACGGTTTTAAACGTAATAGAATGACCAAAGGCACACGCAGTCTGTGTCAATGAACTGTACGACCTGTTTGTTATGTTAAGGGCGCTGTCGCAAACTCTACCAAACCTTTCTCACAAACATCTGAAGAATTTACACTAAGTTTTCAGTCGTGCTAGTCACAGATTCCTAGATTGTTTTGTCAGGTTCCACTGTTAATCGACGGAAATACATGTCAAAAAAACTCACACCTATGGAAATAAACGAGGAGGCACGTGCTAGCTTCAAAAGATACATTTCGTGTTTCTTGAACACAGACACACACACTCACGCACGCGCGCGCGCACACATGACCTCAAGCCCACACACAGTGCACGCACTCTCACTTATGAACTCAAGTCCATACGCACACTCACGCGCACGCACGCACGCACGCACACAGTTGTGCCAGCTGTGAAAACATCTCGTGACCCAAGACAAACACTCGACACCAAGCTTATGTGAAACATGCGACCGGAGGACGCGATCGTTTTTTGACGTAAAACAGGGAAAAACGACGGCATTGGACAACGGCACGGAATGAAATTCGCAGAGATGCAGAGAATATGCGAACATCATCAACCCCCACACGAGCATTCACATTCCTAACGTCGTAAAGATTCGTTCCATGCTCGTCCACTGCCACAGCGATGACGCTGAGGCACCTTACTCTCTGTCTGTTGACTCGGGAACAGCTAAAACTCGCGAGATAAAAACGCATGACAACGGCGCACGCGAAACCTGCCTCACGTTACGCCGGTGTCACCCCCAGATTATGTAATCTTTGCACGCGCATGCTGTACGATGCGGTTATCCCACTATTTTCTTTTCAGACCTCCACTTCTCCACACACACACACACACACACATATATATATATATAGTCACGTATTACGCGGTGGTCGGTGCTGCACCGCCACTGGGTCAAACAGCAGACAACGCTAACGAACGTAGCTAGCGAGCGCGAGCCCATCGATCAAATCGAGAAGCCCCGCGATCCACCGTCACCAGCTGCTGCTGCTGCTGCATCGCGAAAGCCCGGCACACACGTGAGTAATTTTACTAAAGTAAATGATGCATGCGTCAAAATACTCACGTGTGCGGTGGATTTTTGTCGAGTATTTTGACGCATGTATCATTTTACTTGAGTAAAATTACTCACGCGTGCGCCGGGCTTAACTCCACGATTTTCGGCGCTCCCTCTCTCCCTCCGACCGGCGCGACCAATGCAGCGGACGCCTAACTTGGTGGGGGAGGTGGCGGCGCAAGCAGGCTTGGCAGCCCAACTGCCGCGAGGGCGCTGAAGTCAAACGCGTTGACCTGGGGGGCGGCGCCGCCGCTGGTGGGCGGCGGTGGGGGCGGGGCAACACCCATCGGCGGGGGGACGGGCGGGGGCACGCCCATCATGCCCGATCCCTGCCACGGCGGAATCCCGCTCGCGCCGCTGTATCCCTGGTTCCACGGTGAGGAGATAGGTGGCGCCTGCGAGGTACCTCCAGCTGTAACGGCAATAGAAACAAGAGAACGAGTAAGTACTGCTGCTACGTACGAGACGCTACGGCATCTTTAGAGAGTAACCTCAACTTAAATCGTAGATACACACACAAAAACCGCTACCACAAAAAACCCAGTTCACACAGGCGCTACTATAAGATTATACCGGAGGCCTGTTTTTACCAAACAGTATAACACCAGTGAGTCCAGCCGATCATAAGAATCTCACGTGAAGTGTTATACCCAAGTTCCTTCATCTTTTAAGCTGGGTTTTCACTACCAACTTCATGCAGACAAATTGGTGAATTGGACGAAACTTCCCAACTATACAACCGACAATCGGCAGTGTAAACACAAAAGTCGCGCGAGCAACTGGTCAATATCAACTAGTTGGGAGATTAGAACATGTTCTATTTTCGCCAACTCGGTGTTGCCGAATTGCGAAATTGGTCCAACTCGCCAATGTGACAACATAAAGTCGGTAGTGTAAATAAAGTGAACCCAGCTTTAGAGTCACGATAGCTAGAACCATCTAACCTATGACAGGGTGCGAAATTAGCACGATTCCGGAGTCAAATACTCCCTGATTTACTGTCGGACTCCCTGATTTGACATATGCAGGAGTCCGTGCGACTCCCTGAAATTCTGCTATACAAACTAGCTCATTCCAGAGCACAACCTCGCGGAATTACCGTATTTTTCCCCGCAAATGTCCAAAGAAAATTTGGCAGATGTGCAACTGCATGAATATTAAAAATAAGCACATGCGTTATTGTTAATATCTTTAATTTTGAACCTCAGACTGCAGCCTCCCTCTTTTTGAGGGTAGGGAGTCCAACATTCAAAAGTTAATTTCTACCCCTGTAGCTCGCGAAGTGTCAAGGCTAACGTTTGGATGATATCGCGTGACCTTTCTTACCTGTGCTTGTCATCCATGGGTACTGCACCGCTTGACTGCTGGGCGGTGGCGGTGGGGGCGCCACCGAGAACGACGGCGGAGGAACGCCTGCAGGCAACAAAGAGCACCAATCAGAAATCACCGACGACCCACCAGTAAGGCACTAACATAGAAGAACTATACGCATACATAGGTAATATGCAGTATGCACATATCTAGTACACGTACACTACAAGAACTATAGATAACATACAAAGGATCGGTAAGGATGTAGGTAACGGATACAGGTAAGATATGTAGGTAACGGATACAGGCAAGAGATGTAGGTAACAATTATCATTTACAGGCTGATGTAGGTAATGCATACAGGTAAGATATGTAGGTAACGGATACAGGCAAGAGATGTAGGTAATGCATACAGGTAAGAGATGTAGGTAATGCATACAGGTAAGAGATGTAGGTAATGGAAACAGGTAAGAGATGTAGGTAATGCATAAGAATTTCTATTCTTTTGCACCACTACGACCAGTTTGTATCAAGCTACGAATTTCACTGTGATCGAATTTTTTATTTTTTTTTGTCAATTATGTCTATTTTTTGTCATTTATTGTTATTTTTGACCCTCAGAATGCGGAAATTGCATCTCAGAATCAAAAATTTTCCGGGGGGCATGCCGGACCGCCCCCTAGCTAACTCGGTCACTACGTGACCCTCAACTACTAATTTGATGGCCAGAAACTACAGATTGCTTCAAATGTGTTGGCCTCGGTCTGCGGTTCACACTCTGGAATTTTTAACTGCATTGATGGCATTTATGATC